TTCCCTCCATGAGGCTGGGCCCTGCTGGGGCCCTTTTCCCCTCACAGGGCTCACTACACCCCCTTTTCCCATAGCTCCAGGTTGGGGACTGGTCCATGCCTCCTCCCAACCCTCCCCGGCATGGGACTGGGCTTAGGGCAGGCTGCCTGCCACCCCCATCCACATGGCCAGAGGGTGACCCCCCGCACCAGCCCCAGGTGCTGGATCAGAACCACCGTCTGGCCCACAGTCGGACCAGGCACTGCCAATTCAGCCTGCCGGGGAAAAATGTTGAGGACTACTGGGTTCAGGTGTTAAGTCTGTGTTGTGACAGGGTCTTATGTAGCATTTACACTATGGAGTGTACAGGATGGTTTGGATATGGATGATCCTGTCTTAGGAAGGGAGTTGGACTAGATCAGGGGGTCCCAAACTGTGATACACATGCCCCTGGGTGGGAGGGATGCGGCAGAAACTGTGTAATAGTGGATTTACTTTTCATGATAATAATTGGCATTTAAACAGTTAAAATAGAAAACATATATTGGTAGGGGTATGTGGGTAGCTGGTAAATCTGGAAGGGGGTAGCAATCAGAAAAAAATGGGGAACCTCCGAACTAGATGACCCCTGCAGGTCCTTTCCAGCTCTGCTGCTCTAGGATTATACAAACACATTCTTCAAGGCTGTGAAATAGGAGCGTCCTTACCAGGATCAGCTAACAGCCCACAGCATAGCAGAACAGAGGAGGGGTTGATTGGTGGAACCTCAAGACCAGTAACAAGAAGAGAGTGTCGTTAACGCTTATGGAATGAAGAGTTTATAAATGCTCAAGTAGATGATGATGAGCCAGTAGGCTTCCTCAGCACTGCCTGACTAGAAATGCTGCTGCCACTGCTAACCAGTTGGTTTTAAATTTTGGGTGGAGCAAGAATAAAAGGGGGTGCAAGTACACCAGTGCACCCCACCCTGGATTCACCCCTATGTGGGGCCCTGCCTAAAATTCTGACATGGAGCCCACTATGCACAGGCTGGCTTTGCCTGAGACAGACAGATTGCCCCTCTGGAATTAGAAATGCCTTGGAAGGACACTAATGCCATTTTATAGCAACTGACTTCATAAGCTTGCTCTCCCCATTCCCAGGCTACCCATGGTCTATTCTCTGTACACCCAAAGCTGCACAAAACTGTCCTGTGTAATTGTGACTGACAAGGAAGGCCTGTTTAGCAGAGGGGCTGCATACTGTGTGTCCTCCCAGCCTTCCCCCCATTGGATTTGGTCCATTTAGGTCTGCTTCACTTAGGCTGCCCAGAGTGGGGAAGATGGCAGCAGGCTCCTGGCAGGGTCGCCTGAGCTTACTATATATCTCTGATTTAGTTAGTCTATAAGGTGCAAATCTACCCTGCCTTCTGCCTGATTTAAGACTAGCATAGCTAACTACTTTTACCTTCTGGAGTTTCATTTAGGACCTAATCCAAAGTCCATTGAAATCAATAGAAAAATTCCCATAGACCTCAAAGGACTTTGGAGCAGGTCCTACAGCAAAGCTATAAAACTTATGTAAGTGAGGGCATACGTTGGTCCTTAGAACATTTTCTAATGATGATGAAGACTCAGACTGGTAGGAATAAGTTTGGCTCTCAAAACGAAACAGCTGTTAAGCCCACAATTATGAAAAGGCAGTCCCTTTTTAGGTCAGAGATCACTTTCGGAATTTAAAGGGAACTCAATATCTCCCCCCTCTCCCCCACCCAGTGGGTAAATCTGTGGGGAGGGGAGTGAGGAGTGGAAAGTGCTGTGCGGGGATGGGGCGGGGCAGAGCAGATGGAGGCATAGCTCTCACTCCCTCCCTCACTGCTGGGGCCTTGATCTGCATCCCCATCCCAATGGCGGTGAAGGAGGGAGCACAGCTGGCACAGAGCAGGGGACGGAGACGTGAGTGGCTCATCCAAGGGGCATGGGGAGCGGGGGCACGCATCCTGGGAGGGAATGGAGGGTGCGTGCCCCCAGATCTGCCCATGGGGTGGGGTGGGCTGCAGGCTAGGTGGTGCCACACTGCTCCCAGCTGGGCTGTGCTCAGGCCAGGTGGCAGCAGCAGCAGCGGCACTGGGAGTTAGGCCACAAAGGGGGGCCATAGCCCCCCCCAACCCCTGCTCCAAGTGCTGCAGCTGCCCAGCAGCCCAGCGGGAACTGGGTGTAGCCTCCCAGCCTGCCCTCCCCCTTGCCCACCAGCCCCTTGGCCCCCATGTTCTGCGGGGGGAGGGAGGCAAGCGGTAGGGGGAAGGGAAGGCTACTCTGGGCTGTTCCCGCCGGGCCTGGCCTACACTGCGCCTGAGGCAGATGGCTGCGGGACTGGGAGTTGGGGTTGGGGGGGCTACAGCCCCCCTACGTGGCCTCACTTGCAGCACCACCACCGCCTGGCCTGAGCACAGCCCAGCTGGGAGCAACCTGGGGGAACAGCCTGCAACCTGTCCCACCCAGTCCCGTAGGCAGATCAAGTGTTATGTGCCCGCCATGCCCTCCTGTGCTACGTGCTCCCCATCCCCACACCGGCTGTGCAGGGCCTGCCCCTGTTCCCGCCCTGCTACCTACGTGATTGCTGCAGCTGCTGGCACTGCCCCTGGGGGGCGGGGGGGCACGTGCCCCCCCATCTGTGTGCAGCGGAGGCGGCTCCCACTGCAGGGTGGGCTTTGTGCCCTGACCCCTGCTGCATGTGCCTTCCCAGGCCTCCCCCCCTTCCCTCCCCCACCAACTGACCTGCTGGGCTGGGAAAGATGCACACGCTCAGCTCCCCTAGCCCAGAATTGACCTCAAGAGGCTCCGGGATCTACCAGTTGGTGACCACTGCTTTATATGAAACCTTTGGTCCAGAAATTCTTGCGAGACAACACTGACAACATAGCATGGGGACAGTGACTTTTCTGAGAACCACCATCCCTTAAACAAGGCAGAAAAACCTTACCAATGTCTTAAGTGGCTCAGTTACTGGTCTTGTTATGATCTCGAAGGTAGTGTAAGAGTGATGTTATAGCTGTGATTAAAATTATTCAGAAATTACACGAGGGGCAAGGATTTCTTAGGGCAAGGATATCTTTTACTGGACCACTGTGTATTTGGGATAGTTAAACAAGTTTTTAGAAGGAAGAATGAGGAAGAATGTCTTGCATTTGAAAGTTTGTCTAACTGTATCCCAACTACACAGTTTGTCCAATATATAAGGTATCACTCTAAGAAATCCTTCCCTTACATTGTTATGATCTCTTCCATTTTTAAATAAAAGCAAAATAGGAGGGGATTTTACAATCTGATCCATCTTCTGAGCATTGCTCAGTACCTTCAATTCGCAGGTATGTACTCCCACAGAAAGAGAACTTCTGTTCTCCCATTATATCTGTGACAGCCCAGCATTAAGTTTGCCTAACCCAAGGTGACAGGGTAAGGTAAGACATAACGACGCAGTTCTCCCTTTCTGAATATTTCCTTACATTTCAGCAGTTCCACTTCCTGAAGATTTAATTTCCCAACAGTCAGCACAGCATAGGTTTATGTTTTCTGTCCTTGATCTTGGCTGGGAATTTAGTGCTAAATACTGCTGAGTGCTATCTTACCCAACATGCCAAGGTATTTATAATGGAGCGTTCTAGGCAAGTACCTAGGACTTAAATTTTCAAGAATGCTCACCTATCTTAGGCACCTCCGTTTTGAATGTGTAAATGTTGGTGTACCACAGAAACAGTTGGATTTGAAAAATAACCTAAATGTCAAGCCTTTTCAAGCTGTCTAAAATTGGACACACAGAAGAAAGTCACTGAGCATTTTTAGAAATACAGGGCTATTTTCAGGCAGCATAAATGTGCACACACAAAATTCATGTTGGATTCATTTAGAGAGGTGTATATGCGAATAAGACAGAATGAATGGATGTTTACTTAACAAGATACTTAAAGCTTTTAAGCAGAAGAGTATGTTTTCTTTTAAATATATTGGCTAGTGTCTATGCATACTGATGACTGCTC